TGACATGTTACTGTGCAGTAGAGTTTAGGGATTTCATCGTATTAAATATTAGGGTGATGGCAAGGAGGCCTTCCAACTTCAAAGACAAAACAAATCATACAAATATCAGTAAAAGGATTTTTTTTACTAGTTACTGGGAAGGAATTGCATTATTTTCTGTATGCTTGAAAAAAAATTAAGTAAAGTTAGTTAAATTACTTTTATCAAAACCTCTACTACTTTTAAGCAATTTTATTCATTTTAAAGAGATTTCTATCAGAAACAAATATCTTGTAATACAAAATGTGGCTGAGGTATAAGAATTTGTGCATACAAATTTAAGATCATATTTAAATAATACCAGAGCAAAATGTAATATAATCATATAAAACAATAGCCTACAGGTTTTCTTTAAGTTAATGAAGGTTGAAAGATATTTAAACTTTCGGTTTCTCAATAGCAAAACTTTGAACTTTTCTAACGATGGGAAGCTTTTTTGTGTCTTTTTCACTTAATAATGCCACATGTCTTATTGAAAGGGAAGCTTGCAGAGATTCAACTTCATGTCAAGTTTTCCTCCCAGAGCATCAGATCCACCAGCCGCCAGGATGTCTGAGGGCTGAAACATCCAAACATCCTGCATCCACCTGCTGATCCATTAAAAAAAAAAAAGAAAAAAGACTTAAGCTTTGATGGAGAATAAAAATACATTTCATGTTTGGCAGAGGATTGCTTAAAAATGTTCCTGTTTGATTTTTTACTTCCTTCCCATGTAAAGTACAAAATTAGAGCCAGTTTAGACATCAGTTTTGTTTTTTTTCTTTTTGTCATTTAAGACGATTATGCAAAAGGTCTAATGATAAACCAATAAATTTTGCTACACATTCCATATTTGATTTGGTGACATTTCCATTAATATTTCTGAGTAGAAGTTGAGTACATTTAATAACTGTAGGAAATGTAAATAGGCTTTATGAAACCCAGCTATTTTTAAAGTGTTCTTGCTGGAATAAGTTCAACTGTAGCCAGCAGGATGCAGCCAGAAACAGATGTGTATTGGTGACTTTTTTTATTAAACCAATTTAACTACTTATTAAAAGAAAAAGAAAAAGGAGCTCAAAATACATTCAAAAGCTGAATTGAAATAAACGAAAGGAAACATGATGAACAATTTTTACTAAGCTGAAACAGGAATTTTATGTGTGACTTCCGCATTTGCACATGCATGATCAAAATGCATCAAATGTTTTAAGCTTTTCCAACGCATGTTGAGGGATTGTTGTGTAACAGGAGGTTTATTTTCCCCTTCATTCAGATTTTTTTTTCTTCCAGACTCTCAGGCTTTCTTGAAACGTTTCACAACATTTCGTGGAAACCTCAACAAGTGTTTCGTTTTCAGGAAACTGAGTCCCATAAACGTGTCTGACTTTATAACTGGACTCGCGGTGAAAGTCAGAATAGTGATTGACTGAGCAAACATCCTCCACTAAGCTGGGATTTATAACCAAATGAAGCATCTCGCGGCCTAACTAGTAATTAACTAACAAACTAACCATTAAAATGTGAATTGCTTTAATATTTCAAAAACTCATTTTGGAGGTGTTTGGCCTAATTAACTGCTGCACAACCGCGGGGACACTGATCTCCTCTCAGCTGTTATTAATGCGCTAATGGAAACCGGAATTAATAATTAAGAGTTTAATAATAGCGTCTGACTTATTGTTGCGTCGCCTTTAATCTCTCTGGGCTGCATCCTTTTATTTACATCCATGTTCAGGTCCGTCTCCTTCAGCGCACCGCTGAGGCCCGAGAATAAAAAAAAAGAAGGTGGTATTCGGATTATCAGCCGCATGGGATAAAGCAATAAATGGGCCGGTGGGGTCCTGAATGGGTGCAGCGGCGTGAAGGGGAGTAATTACAGCTTCATATTAATTGTGTTTTTTTTTCCCTCCCCTTCTCTCTCTCTCTCTCCGGACACACACACACAAACACACACGCACACACTGGTGACATCCAGGAAAGCCCTGTCTTTGTGCCGAACACTTCAAGTTTCAAAAACAAGGCCAATTGAAGCGGCGCGGCTCAAAGCCGGCGCCATTGTCGGAGAACACATTGAGTTTTGATTGGGGACAATGGTGTTTCTCAAATTTCGAGCGAAGAGAAAGCCATACTCCATCTGTGATCTCAATGAGCGCCTATTCATGGGCTTCCTTCTTTTCTGCGCCATTCGGCAGCGGAGAAAAGGAGGCAGATGTGGAGGGATAGAGCAGGGGAGAGTGCATTTTAATTGGCTGCAGTGTGCAGCTCGCTCTCTCTCTCACTCTCTCTCTCTCTCCCTCACACACACACACACACACACCCACACACACACACACACACACACACCCCCACACCCACACACACACACTGGAGTTATATGCCACTATAGTCTGTGCGGAATGGGAAGCGAGGGAGCCCAATAATCTCGCCGTGTTGATGAATACTTGTAGCCCATTCATTAAACAAAGATAATCCCTGCCAACCTACCTCGGGGGCAGAAAAACGTATTTTGTATTTGTGTGTGAGTGTGAGGAGAAAGTGCGGGGGGAGGAGAGTCAGAGAGGAGGGGGGGGGAGGAGTGGACGCCGCAGTGCTGCTGGCCAAGAGCTTTGGCAGAGAGAGACCCTTCAAATCTTTGAAATATTCATACGCCTCTCTGGGGTTATCCCCCGTTTATAAATAAGTGTTATTCTAGCGGCTGAAGAGCGACGCTTGAGGGACCCCTGTCTGCCTCTTCAGCTCAAGTGGCTCCTCGTCTCAGGGCCTCGCAGCCCGGCGGTCACGAGGACGAAGCTGAAGCCTCAATAAAAGCACGCAGGTCATTCACTTCACTTCAGAACGCCTCTATAAGTCAGAATAAATAATATCGCGAGATTTTTTTTGTTGAGCATTTTAATTGGAGGATTGCGATCTGATTTAGGCTAATCCAAAGGAATGTTTAGACCAGGGACGTCAACAGGATTAAGAGACCAAAGGTGGCTTAGCCCCGAGGTATAGGAAGACATACAATGTCATATATAGTCTATATAAATAGGACTTATTTTGTAAACTAGTTACTGCTGAGCAACAGGCAAAACACAAAATGAAATGCGTTTCATTCGATCAAAAGGTTTGTGAGACATTGATTTCTCAGTGGATCAGCTTTAAAAATGCTTGTGTTTCAGTTTTAATGAGACAAAAATCTTTATTGGCACCACAGGAATCAGTCTCTTCTCATTATTTCTGAGAATGTTTTTCCATTTTCCACTGGTGACTTTTTTTTAGCTTTGGTTCTCCAAATATTTGAGGTTGGAAAGCCTCCTCGCCATCACCCTATCGTTTGCTCCCTCCACAGCCGATTAAATAGGAAACCCTATTTAAGCTGCTCCAATATGCTAGCATTGCTACCAGTCAAAAGAAACGTGTTGATAAACTTAAAAGATCATTTGTAAATTAAATCTGCCAATGCATGAATAATTTTGGGCTTTCTTGATTAGAATATTAGAAAAGCAGAGTAGATGACAAGCTATCTTAAACTGATTGAAATCCTGCATTGGTACCTTATCAGATATATTCAGACATAAAAATCTGCAAGCTTAACTCAAAACAATAAACTCAAAAATGATTAAACTCGTAAAATGAACAACTGATAAATATTGCTGCTAAATGAGGACTACAGCTGTTAAAACATAAGATGCACTTCTGACTTTATCTTTATCAGTTTGCTGTACTGTGTTCAAAGACTTAAGATGATTTACTTTCTTTTCCCCATAAATGTGTGTTTTCATAATGTTACATATCATATCCCGGTGGTCAGCATTTAGGCAGCACAGAAATACAATACAGTGCAGTAAGTCCATATTTTACTATGTTCACCCAATGAATACTGAAATTGACAAATTACCGGGAAGCAGAAAGAACACAAGAATGACCAGCTTAATGTAAAAATAAACTTTTGTGTTTTGTATTTAAATTCAGTCTTGCTTACTTTTGTAAACTGTATGTCTGCATTAGTTGGAGACATGAAAGTAATATCCATCCATATTATTTCCAGGGTCCTAGCAGATCATCTCAGTGGAACTTTACTCTTGAAGATAAGATGTGTTGAATGTATCTCCTAACAGCTTCTTGGGGCCCTGCTGCCCCAGTTTGACTTTGACTGATGCCAGGCTGCAAGTAGTAGAAGAAATGCTTTTCAGCTTGTTTTTTCTTTGTCTTTTCAAATGAAAAACAAATGAATTTATTGATCAATGACTTCCCAAATCAATACATTTTCCTAAGAATGCGTTCTCTTCAATCCAGTTTATGAGATACTTTTCATAAGACTGTCCTCCGCAGATTTACAGCACCCTTAGTGACGTCACTGCACTTATCTTATAGGCGTCTGAATGTTTCAGTCTCTTTTCTGAAGCAGAACATGAAATACAAAATTATCCTTCTTCGTTGTAAATAGGCATGTTATTCTTCATGCAATGCAGCGGAAGCACTTTTAAACAGATTTCACGGAACACGTTCATTATAAAAGATAATTCTGTTCAATTTAGTTTTGCGCTGCTTTATTCAGCTGCTTTAAGGGTAAATCTGTGCGCTGCCTGCATGCCTGCTCCCCTGCTCCCCTGGGTCTTCCTTATTTGAAGGAATGCATTTGTCCCGATCCATTTCCCCGGTGCAGTGGAGCTGGTGTGAAGTGGCAGGTTAACAGCCTCTTGTCTCTGAGCCCGGGGCCTTCACTCGGTCTGCCCGTCAAGCGTGTAAATACTTGAGCGAACCCCCTCCTCCTCCTCCTCCTCCTCCTCCTCCTCCTCCTCCTCCTCCTCCTCCTCCTCCTCCTCCTCCTCCTCCTCCTCCTCCTCCTCCTCCTCCTCCTCCTCCTCCTCCTCCTCCTCCTCCTCCTCCTCCTCCTCCTCGTCCGTTTTCTTTTCTCCGCAGGCCCTTGTCTAACTGCTACTCTAACCTCTACCTCCGCGGGACAGAGGCGGCTGCAGCGGCGGGGCGAGACGGGAGGGGATCCGGGCCCCGCCGAGCCGCAGGCGGGGCGGCGGCGGTGGAAGAGGCCGCTAAAGAAGAAGGGGAGAAAAGCTCCACCGGGGTGCGTGGGTATAGCGGAAACATGCTGCTACATATGTTGGGTCAAGCATGGCCTTTGTTGTGTTCCTAAAGGGTGTTAAAACTGCACTCATCCGGGGAGCTTTCCTGAAAGAATTGCATGTTTTTTTTGGTGTTTTTTTATGCATATATGGGCCTAATGAAGTGGATAAAAGAATGTTGGATTTTCTAAATGCCCACAGTCACTTTTAATTGCATAGGGGGCATTTTTAATTGGAGCAGGAGGAACAGGGAGCTTAAACCTATCATAATGCCTGTTTCTCAGACATAAAATTTCCGTTGACCTGCTCTGTCAAACCAGCTGATTTAATATTCACCCATTAAGCCTCACTTTGAAACACCGAGCCTTGGTTTCTGAGGACTCGGGCGTTCCAGTTGTTTCAGTGCAGTAAGTGGGGGGTTGAAGGCCATGACTCTTTAGCTCTTTGTTTTTAAAACGATTCTTTGAAGGGCCACACTTCGCATGTGACGATTTTTCAATAAACTTTTTTGACACCGGTATACTCAATCAGCATTAAAAGTAGCACAAATCATTTTTTTTAATCACAGTAAAAGTAGCACAAATCATTTTTTTTAATCACAGTAGTGACTGGATGTGATATGGGCTCACCGCCCAGGGCGGTACAGTCTTGGGAGTAGCCCAGCCAAGGTTTCTACAGCTTGTTTTATGTCCCAATGCAATCAACTTCCTCCAGATTCTGGCACAGCAAGAAAATGAAACTATTTACCAGCTGCTTTCTTAAGTTCTCATCAATTTTTTTAATTTTTTTTTTTATTTTATTTTATTTAGTGAATTGAGACTGTATTTCATTGTCTAAAGTTCAAAATCAGAGGTCTGGAACTCCAGACCTCAAGTGCAACTGTCCTGCTCCAATGGGCCTGAGTCAAAATGCTGAATGACCTCTTTGGCTCCACGTTTTGGTCATTAACCATTCATTTGATTGAAGTGTGTTAAAAAAAATTCTTAATTGATCCCAAAAAGACAATTAAATCGTGAAATTGTTAATATGCTGAAGCAGAGATACGAGATACAGCCAAAGTTGTTGTACAGCAACACTTCAGGACTAACGCTGCAGACCCTCGTTCTAAATGTTAAATCAAACTTGATCTCAGTTATTTATTGTTGCACAGAGGCTGATAGGAACACAGCTTGACATTTATTAACATTTTTGTAAAATCACAAACGCACACAAAACATTTTCACTGCATTTCCCCTGTGCCATTTTTGGCACAGGGGAAAAAAACACCCCTCAAATTAGTGTGGGATCCAGAAAAACAAAAGGAATCATTATGCTGTGTGCTTTAATGCAAAAAATAAAATAAAATAAAATAAAACAACCCAAAAACAACAACAAAAACATTTATTAGTTTATAATTTTCAATTTTTCTTAATCCGTTTGTGCAAACATGTTGCTAGTAAGAGGGCAATTAGTGTCATGAAATAAAATATATTTAAATACATCAAACTAAGTGTATTTTTAGTTCCATTGACAGTCAGAAAAAAAATCATGCAACAAACAAAACAACACGGAATGTGTCGATGTATTGAAGGAATATCCTATTTCACAATAATTTGTGGAGGCGTGGAGAAATGGGATTAATCCCACGTCAGAGTTATCACCGGGAAAAACTGTCTACTGAGAAGATGACGCTCTGTTTCCCTCCCTTCTCTGTTGTCTCAATCCAACACTTAGTTAGACCACGTCGCTTTTCTAAGTTGCCGAGCAGAAAATCCATCATCTCTCCAACAAGCGCCGGGCCTCCTCTGCCTTCTCCATCCGAGCGAGATCAGCGCCCATGCAGATAATTACTTTGAATGTCAAAAAGATGTAGTTTTAATATCGTCTCTATTAGCCCGTTGGCAAGGTAATTAAGGTGCAGATGACAGCGGCGAGGGAAACAGATGGCATTTGCTTACAGTGATTCAGAAAGTAAACAATGAGCCTGGGAGGGGAGAGGCAGGGCTGCTGCAGAGCGCATCTCCCTGCTGCAGCAGCCATTTATCTCGGCTTTCAATGCCTTGATCGCCAAGGCTCTTGTCGTCGTCCTCAGAGGCATTGACAATTGTTGATTAGAGAAAACACCTAGAAGTTTGTTTTTAATTTAAAGACCTGCAGCAGCACGCGCTGTCGTGGCTCCTGGGCGAGCAGGTGAAGGGAGCAGGTGTTGCCCTTTGGAGGCTCTGCGCGTCGCGGACCTCTTAAAATCTCTGCGAGCGCCGAGGCGTCGTCACTCCATACAGAGGAGGTATAATCAGAGGCCAGAGCTCCCAGAGCACAGCCGTGATTTTATAGAGGATAGTAAATAATAATAATAATAATAATAAGAAGAAGAATAGTAATTATTATTGTTAAAATATGAAGAAAAAATAAATATGAAATGAAATAACATCAAACACAAACAAGCAAAAAACAACAACAATAAAAAAACACCACAAATATAACAGTAACAATAACAATTCAAAGCAACTCTTATGTTTTTAGTTTGAATTATGCGATTAAAAAAAAACACTAACTTAAGATTGCCCTAATGAACTGCTTTAACAAACGTGTTTATTTACCTCAAACTCTGCAAGTTTTCAGTTTGATGTCGGCATCAACATATTTAACAAAAACAGCCTCGTCATAATAAACAGTGCATTCTGATCCACTCTGAAGTTTTTTTTTCCCATTTGAATGTTATTCTGTTTAAAAATGAAATAATAAAAAAAAGAAATCTGTAACACAAAACCAAAACATTTGACCAACGTGTTTATTTAATCAACAAGCAGAATTGGACTGATTTCTTTTTTTCAGCTTCCAGTGGCGTTAATTGTTAATATGTTAAATTGAGCCGTATAAAACGTGTTATTATTATTTTTTATTTTATTATTATAATTTTTTTAATTGCAGCTTCTTATTAATTTGAATGGTTAAAACAATCGCGTTAGATCAGCGACAACCATGCAACATCTTCTCCAGACATGCAGTCAATAACTGGGAGTAAATTAGTTGTTTTCCCCGTCACATAGTAAATATTACCTTTTATTAAACCAACAAAATAATTTATACTCACCTCAAAGGTGGAACTAAAGAGGCGCTTCAGGTTTAATTTGAATTCTTCTTGTATTTTATTTTATTTTATTTTATCTCTCATTGTGAGGACAAAATAACCGAAATAAAATAGTATTTTCAAGACAATAGACCAAAACAAAAAAAGTAATTTAAAGGGATGTTAAATTCCCTTTATTAGATGGTTTAAAATTTCTTGTTTTGGACTCTGAAGATGCCATAAGGCTGCATCATTTGAATTGATAACAGTCGTGCTGTTTAAAATCTATAAAATTCATTTTTGGTGGCAGACACTGGATCGATTTGAGCTTTCCGGGAACTCCCTTCAGATTCTTAACACTTCATATTTGGAAAAAGAACTCAGGTGGACACAGTTGAAAAAAAAAATGGAGAGAGAGAGACAAACCAATCAGATCGCTCCCTCTCCCTTTGGCCAATGACAGACGCCACATTGTTGTCAAATTTGTCTAATGAAAACGTAGGCGCAACAATAGAGAGAGGGGAGAGAGGGATCTGTATCCACTGACGATCTCTGGAGGAAGTTAGTGTCTCAGGCTGCGGTTTCTGGACACTTTTTAACTTCTAATCGAAGAGGATTGATCTCTTCTCCTCTCGGCTCGGAACTAAACTCGCTTTTTTCTCTACATTTGTTTTTTTTTTTCCTGGATAGCTTCTACCATATAAATATATATATAGGCCTATATTATTTCTGTCAGCAAAAATCGCTGTTTTTTTTTTACTTGTTGCGCAGAGATGTTGCAGCAGATGTGATAAGCTTCAGGGTCAGTTTAACTAAAACAGATCGTTCCTCCAGCGTCGCTCTCTCACTTAGTTTCTATTGCATCGCAGACGGCATCGAAGACGACATGGATCTGAGACCGGAGCTTCCCACAGTGTCCTCCGCCTCCCAGGTTCACCCGGGAGCGGCGGCGGCGGCCGCGGCAGCCTCCATTCCTGTGTCCATGGCCGGCAACTTGCTGCGCGGCCCTCCGCTGCTGCTGCGCGCCGCTGACAAGTACCCGCGGACGCCGAAGTGCGCCCGCTGCAGGAACCACGGCGTGGTCTCCGCCCTAAAGGGCCACAAGCGCTACTGCCGCTGGAAGGACTGCATGTGCGCAAAGTGCACGCTCATTGCCGAGCGGCAGCGGGTGATGGCTGCGCAGGTGGCGCTGCGGCGGCAGCAGGCGCAGGAGGAGAATGAAGCCCGGGAGCTGCAGCTGCTGTACGGCACCGCCGAGGGCCTGGCCCTGGCCGCGGCGAACGGCATCATCCCGCCGCGTCCCAACTATGAGGTGTTCGGCTCTGTCAACAGCGAGAGCAATTCAGGTGAGTGGAGGGGGATGTTTTTAGTTGGAACAGGTGAATTCACCTGTCAACAGGACGTCACTGATTACTTGTGTAATTTACTATTTGTTGCATTTTTATTGACATTTTAAAAAGATGCTTATTTTACATTGAATATCGCACAGTTTTTCGTGTTACTGTCCTATAAACATTACGTCATATTCTTCGCTGTTCCTTTTTCACTTTTCGTATCTACAAACATGAAACCTAGACAAATATTTTTATTAACTTTCAGAACAGTTTTCTGTGGCCTACTCCCTATTTCCATTTACTTTGGATTCTGATGCTGACTTGGGCCAGATGACTCTTATGAGATGCGACTTTGTGTCTCCTGAAACCACACTGACTATGAGCGACCTCCGGATGTTAGATATAACATCTGAGATTCAAGGCACACTTCATTACACTACCCTGAATAAGTTATAGAAAAGTTGTTTAAATCATCAAATCAGACAGATCGTCCTCAGGTCGAGAACCAAAAGAGACATTGTTGATACGAAACAGACGACCAGTGAAGATCCACTCAATACAAAACGATCAAAATTGCAAAAGCACGAAATGGCAAATTGACAAAATGACAAGCTCTCCTGAGGTTAAACCTCTTCACTAATTTACTCCGATGCGTTGTTTCAAATTATTTTTTCACTTCATTACAAACATCTTCAACCTTGTTAAAGGTTTTGCGTGCTGAAGAAAATCCGTCCTGATCTAATCACTGATCTTCGTGTCTGTAGAGTCCAGTATCCAGAAGTATGAACTGTTTCCAAAGACCCAGTTGTCCGGGTCAACCACCCCTCAGAAGTCCGTGGGGAAACCGGCGTCCACCGAGAGCGACTCTGCCCCAGGCATGTCTTCCCCGGACGGCCGGCACGGAGGAGGCTCGGGGTCAGAAAACGGAGACAGCGAGTCTTTCGTCAACTCGCCGGTGTCAAAGCCTTTGAAGGACGGAGAGGAAACTCCCGGGTCGGTCAGCTCCCTCGGATCGGACTCAGGTTCCGAGACCGACAAAGACGAACAGGAGCCCTCTCCGTCCTCCGCAGCCTCCCGACACATGAACGCCATCGACATCCTGACCCGGGTATTCCCCAGCCACAAGCGCAGCGTCCTGGAGCTCGTCCTGCAGGGCTGCGGGAAAGACGTGGTGCAGGCCATCGAGCAGATCCTCAACAACAGCGGCGCACAGGCCCCCAACAAGGCCGGGCCGGAAGAGACGTGGACGGCCGAGAGGATGCTCCAAAGCGCGCAACAGCCTCCTGCTGGATCCGCAACCGCAGCCACCCCGACGAGGCCGATGCTCCCTGGAGCCATGACGCTGAGCAACCGCTCCGCGTTCTCCCCGCTCCAGCCAAACGCCCCGCACTTCGGGGCAGACCCCGGCACTTACCCGCTGGGAACCCACCTGGGACTGAACCCGCTGCGGCTGGCCTACTCTGCGCACAGCCGGGGACTGGCTTTCATGACGCCCTACTCCACCACAGGGCTTATGCCCACCTTGGGCTTCAGGCCCCCCATGGACTATGCTTTTAGCGACCTGATAAGAGACAGGACAATGCTGCACAAGGAGCAAGGCTATGCCAGCGGCCTGTACGGGCCTTTAGTCAACAACACGCCGGACAAACAGTGAGACTGGTGGACACGAAAACACATTTCATTGTATTATAATAAATCTGTGATGTGTTTTGGCTGCACTCTGTGTATATTAGAGTTATCAAACTTGTAGACAATTGTTCTAAGGCGGAGAAACTGAATTATGTGTGACTTTGAAGCTTATGTCAAACGTTAAATGACATAAAATCTGGACGATTTCCCCTGCTTACCAGCCTCATAAAATCATAACGAGTTCCAGGACAAATCGAGCTTGAGAGGAACTCAGACCTTTATGTAATATTATAATGAGATAAATATTTATCCCTGGGTTTGATTTTTTTATAGCCTGTCTTATTTCAACGCCGCCTGGTAAAACTAAAAATCGGATAATAAATGATGCAACATGAGTAATGTGTACAGACCTTGTTTTCTATCTCTTTTTTCCCTATAATTTCAACAATCTCACTTTTCTGTCTGTATGATATGAATATAACCTATTGCCTCAGGCAGCAGGAAATGCTGTTTGACTTCTTTATAAGTTAGTCACACCCCCTTTTTGAATGGTGAAAGATGTGATGTCACATAAATATGCTGAAAATAAATGTTATTTTAAAAATCTGTGTAACTTGACTATTATTAATGCTCCAGCGCTGTTCAAATTTAATGTTCAAAAAATAATAATAATGTTATAACTCCAAACTTACGTAAATGTAGATTTAGTGTTCTGAGAAAAGAAACGATAATAATTTATCAAGATGAAAATGAGACCAAACAAACATCTTCAGGGTCTCCTTTTCTTAACAAAACCAAACCAGACTAGACACCGCAGGTCAAGCGCTCAAACTTAAAACATTGTTTTAGATCAGAGCATTTCAAAATTAATTTTCTTTAAAGAAATATCACACAAAAAATTTAATAACCGTCGACAAATTATTTTATCATCTTTTTAGGACTAAAAATGGCGGAATAAAAGGTTGTCCGTATTTTTACATCGTCTCAAAACCTGAATAGACACAGTTGTTCCAAGTATTATTATTATTATTATTATAATCATGATTAAATTTATGTTGTTGTTGTTACTACTACTACTAATAATAATAATGTTGTTGAATGAAAGTCGTTTTTTCTGAAACGGATTGGTTTTATTCCAATCCGTCTCAAATTCTAATAACACAAAATAAGATTAAAAGAAAACAAACAGAAAAAAATAAATATGTTTATTAAAAAAAACTGAACGAATTCAAGGGTGATGAGAATGTTTCTGTGGTTAATATTACAGTAATCACTAAACATAAAAATGAAACATTCGCTGAAAAAGACAGATATATATTTATTTTTCTCATTTAGCATGCAGCTATTTTCTTTCTTTTTCTTGTTTCTTTTTTTAACTAAAAGAAAGTCAGGGTTCACTTTGGGTGATTTAGCCGCCGTTGATAAAACCTCGTGCTCTGCGACCTGTCAGCTCTTCATCCGCTCAGGTTGCCATGTCAGAGAGCATCGCGCCCTCTGCCGGTCATTCCTATTCACGGCAGCTCGATTAGAAAATGCGTCTCCTGGCGTCACCACTGATGTAAAAAATGTTCAATGAAACATGTTCTCACCTGTTTTTTGTTGTTGTTGATGATCATCTGAACAGACGCGTTTGTGTAACATAATATTGGACTCCGATGGAAAAGTCAAACATGTTGAGTTTATATTCTGCTCTTAAAATTTTGCTTCTATCTTTCTGTGCCGTAAAACAAGGAAAAAAAAAATCGAAAAAATGTTTTTTGACCAACATGATTTAATTTTAATCATTGAACTCTTATTATTGAACAATTCACGTCCTGTGTGTGACAGACACTACCACTAGGTGGGAGTCTCCTAAAAGAAATGGCATCCTCAGCATCACTAGGACGATGTGAAAGACCGGCATCAGCATGTCCAAACGTGCAGGACCTCGCAGAAGTATTCATTAATGGTTTTTACTTTTGTCACATCATAACCACACAATTTAATACATTCATTTGGATGTTATGTGAGTGACTTTCTTTAAAAGAGCCATGTATTTTTTTTCTGAAAGAGTCATGTGCAATTGTATTATTTAAACTCCGTATGTGTGCAGTTAAATTTCAGTAAAAATATAGATGTTCTGTTAAGGCATCAGAGATTTCATAGAGAACATCAGGGAACAAACAGCAACAGAAAAACCAAGAAACACAGCAGTCAGGTTAAAGAGAAAGTTGTGGAGAAGTTCAAAGCAAGTACAGAATTGCCAAATTTTGATTTGAACAAGGACATACATGGACATTTACCTTAATTGAGAAGCCATTCAAAGTTCTCATAAGAAATCCACACCGAATGTTAGAACATTTAAATTTACATCCCAGCTGTAAGTCAGCTATTCCAGAAAACTGAGTTTTGGGGAAGAGAGGCAAGAATAAACTTTGCCTTAAAAATACAACAAACATTTGCCACAAGCCTTGCAGATGAAAAACTGTGTGTTCAATTAGATGACATCAGAACGTAACTTTCTGACTTAAATGCTAAATCATGTGAGTAGAGAAAAGCTAACACTGTGAATCAATTTGTATCTGCTGGTGGTGGCAGCATCATGTTGTGGGGGTATTTTGTTTCAGCAGGAACAATGAAGTTTATAGGAACAATGCCTCATCTCTGAGGACTGAACCTCCCCACTGTACTTTAGGTTATAGATACTTTTTTTAGTTTCTGCCTTTCCTTTGGTGTTTCAGTAGAAGGCGGAGAGGTTTTGATGAAGAATTAGAACTGAATTTGATCATCTCTATCTTAGACTGGTCTTCTCTAAACTGGATAAGTCTGCACTGTACACAAGTTCCTGAAAATATAATTTGACATGTATCAGTCTTTTTGCCAAATTTTTGAAAACAAACTTTCACAGCTTTATTTGCATAAGGACAGCACTGGATGTTTTTAGCCCTGCCATAAATTAAGATCTCATATGGGAGGTTATGTAACTATATGGAAATGTGTAAGAATAGCACTTTCAAACTCCAGACTGAAATCCTAATGAGAATCAGTAGCAGCAGGACAGGGAAATTGCTACTCACAGACTTTCTCCATCCAATCTCCCTGAGCCTGAAGTAGTTAATGAAACAAAACCAGGCAACACCTTTTATCTTTGGATGGGAAACATTAGACATTACCTAAAAAGACATGCAGCTGGAAATGCAAAATTATAAAATGTGACTGAATATACAGGCGTGCTGCACTTTTTTCAGGTTTCTGTTTGCAACAAAAATTGAAAGCCACATATTATTTTCCTTCCACCTGCCAGAAATGCATTACTGCTCTGTCTACATAAAAAATTGTCATTGAAATGACAAAATTAACAGGACTGTCTTTTACATATACAAAACATAAAGCATTATGTTTTATTCTGTCATGTACCCGCAATTTCTATAAATAAAAAGGCCACTGATTATGTCACAGCAGCTTTCACCTTCACTTACTGTGAATCTGGTCTTTTTTAGGCATGGTAAAGTCTTATAGCACCCTCTGCTGGTCATCCATGCGCACTGGCTTAAAACTTTCCTTTTTGCAGCAGCATACTGAACTGCAGATTAGCGAAAAGCTTACTTATCATGTATGCTTTTGCAGAAGCAGACAATAACTTCCAAGCATCGTAAGACGTAAGCATGCATTTGTTATCAATTCTGTTGCAATGTTATACCTCCAATAGAGATGTTGATATGCAGATCTCAGGGAGTGCAAATCTATTTCCAAGTGTGCCAGTTGGTTCAGAAATATGGAAAGGAAGAGCCAGGAGCACCAGCTTGCAGAACATTTCTGGTTTGTGCAATCATATAGTTAGTGCTCCCCTTTCTGTGTTTACTAATGAATAATTAGACAAAAGCAGATAAATAGCCACAGGCTTACAGAGTGGCGCAGAAAGACATGGGGGAATCCATTTATGTTATTACTCTATACATAAAATCCATTTTCATTTTCAGAAATGCTGTTCGGCTTACTGCAACAATAACAAATAGATAACAGCAAAACAAACCCGCACCAAGACAACAATTGTGCACATTATGGACTGAATTTAGTGCCTCCAATCTTACAGCTCAGTAAACTTGTAGCAAAGCAGATAAAGTAAGAATTAAAGTTTTGTTTTGCTACAGCATGCACTAAAAGGTTTTATAGCTTGGCTGAATCATCAACAGTGTTTCATCAACGAGCTGCCAGTGATGAAAATAACTGAAATCCTTGCCTGCAGCTGCACAAATACCAACTGTTCAGCACAATAATAAAACAGCAGATAGATTAGTTGTAGTCAACCAGTTCTTATTCCTTTTACTTACTGAAAAATTAAGCCAAACATTCATGAAAATTGTCAAAGGAGCTCAATCATATTTAAATTATAAGCTTAGTATTGACCAAAACACAAAAGCAACAAATATTTTTTGTAACATTTCTGCTAATGAAAGACAACAGAAAATAAAAATCTAAAGATCCGTTCGTCCGTCTGTCCGTCTATCCGTCTATCCATTCTTACTACCACAAGGGTAGTTATTTACAGACTGTTTCTTATCTCATAAAATCATAATAAAACGTAGTTATTTATCTGTTATAAAATATTGTGGTCAGTCATTGCAAATGCAACTTCCAGATTTTTTCAGACACAAGTCATTATGGAGATTATTTGAATAGTTTAGTCATGATCATGGTTGATTAATTTTTGGTCCTCACCTTTATAGCACCATCTACAGCTAGATATCCTGAAGACAGCTTCATACATTTTGGGAATCTGACAGAACATGCAGACACAGTTTGTTCTTGCTGCCAATTTAGCTCATTCCTCTGTTTCTTATGCCACTTATCTATCATGGGGACATCCGTGTCCTCAAAGACTCGTTGACTTACATGTAAATGTTGTGAAGGTGACAGTCAAGGGGTTAAAAGAGATTACACAACTGTTTAAAAAGACAACAAACTGCTGATAGAGTCACATGGTCTTTTAATCAAGGATTGAAAGAATCATAAAATGCTCCAAGCTTCTTCTCTTTTACCCAGAAATCACACAACAATAAACTGCATTTTAATGAAAAATGCAAATTGAGATTATTCTTTTATGACCAAAGAAATGATTACTCTGGTGCATTTCCATGTACATTCATTGGATAGTGAAAATTCTTTTCTTTGATTACAGCCTCTTTAAGAGACTCCTGCTTGAATAAAGGTGAAGCTGGAGATGGTGTAAGGAGACGATGCACGTGTTGTGTGCTGTGCAAATCTCAGTTTGGAGGCCAGAGGGTGTGCATGACTTTCCTGACACGGCAGGAACACACTAAATCTGCTATGTGCAATAATAGTTAATACTGCAGGGACACAATAAGGTGTGCTGCAATATGACAGTATTCATCTGTGAGCATGATCTATGCATGCTGTATATATGCACACCATATTTTTTTAATGTGTGTGTGCAGCATGGCTGAATAACATTCTTGAGGAGGTGGGGTGTGTTTTAGTTCTCCCTGAGGTCACTGCATTAACTTGGATTTATTACCCAGATAATTATCCACATTAGGTGTTCAGGTCATTTCCCTCCCAGTAGTGCCAACTGCCAC